CACCAAAGAAAGAATTTTAAAAAAAAGAATTTTCTTTTTTGGAATTGGCAGTTAGGTCATGAATCGCGAATGGTGTAATGACCCACCAAAACACAGACTGAGAACACTGCTGATTTCTGAGTTCTGCCGCTGGAATGGATGCCTTGCTGAGATTCCTGCATTCTGCTGAGTTTTCTAAGTCTGTGTGTGTGTGCATGCTTGATGGTCTGCGTGCCTGTCTGAGTGCTGGTCGGCCTGAATGTGTGTGTGACCCACAGGGGTACTTGCTTGTTTGAAGGCCCGTAGGGCGGGTACTTACCTGTGGCCGTGGCATTGAGGGTTGCAGCGGGGGGGAAAACACTCAAGGAGCAGGTAGGCCGGTACCACACCCAGTAGAAGTCGGTGTGCTGGATACTCGAGGGCAAGCAGAAGAAGACAAAGTTGGCATTTTTAGAGGCCCAGTAGTTGTAGGCTAGGTCTAGGCGGGTACCAGTCCAACCAGTCTGAGTCTAGGGCCTGTACGGGCAATATCAGAGTCTGCAATGATGTTCCCCTTCAAAAGGGACGAGGTACCAGTTGCTTGGGAGGTCACGCGGCCTGGAAGTCACCGCCCAAGAGGCAAGTAGGCCGCTATATCTTTGGACTGAGCCAAGAGCTCAGCCTCATTCTTCGGTGTGCAAGTTTGGTGACAGACTGGTTGGAGCGTCGGCTGGAGGAGCGCTGGACACTTCAGCGCTGCTGGGAGGAGGGAGACCGGGAGCTCCCACCTCGTCTATGGTGGAGCTCTGCCGGTAGGAGAAGGAGGGAGAAGAGGACTGAGGAGGAGAGTGGCGAGGTACATACCTGGCTATGGTGGACACCATCTTCATCACCTTGATAGGCACTGCATCTGGAAGGCCCCAGTTGGGGTAGTGCCGCACCAAGGAAGCTCGAGGCAGAGTCAGGCATGCCGGCCTGATGAGCAGCGACATAGCTGCTTTGTGTTCTCCTTTGGACATGAGGGCAGAGCCCTTAGTAGTCCGCCATAGCCTTGGCCTACATGAAGAGGAAGAGGAAGGGTGGTCATGGCTATGGTGAACCTCATGTTGTGCCTGCAGTAGAAGTGGGATTCGGACACTGATTCTGGTTCAGCCATTCAACATTGTTATTATTATTTCTTGTTTGAATAAGAGGGGAAGAGATACGGAGGAGGACAGTGGTTGGCGAAGAAGAAGAGCATTACCATTGGTCTATGCTGGTGTTCATCATCTTCTTCTTCTTTCTTTCTTCTTCTTCTTCTTCTCTCCCTCTCTCTCCTCTCAAGTTCATTCATTTCTTTTTGCAATTGGATGACATTGTACTTTCTGACGAATGTGTACTTCGAAATTGGCCAGGATCGTAACATTGGTATAGGAGAGAATTCTATTAGCTGGAAAGAGTTGACTTGCTACCCTAACCCTAACCAAAGTGGTTGACGGCGCCACTTAGGGTTAGGGTTGGTCCGATTGAAGGAAAGTGGGGCAGTGTGGATTAGTGAAGCTGCCCCAACCTGGTAGGGTAGTGCGAGGTTGGCACTTGACCTCGCCAGGTTGCAAGAGTGTAAGATTGGGGCGGCGAGACACAAGGAGCTTTGCGACGCAATTTGTGAGAGGTGACAGTGAGAGGCACCCTTCAAGGAAGACATGGGTGACTTTAGGGCTCCCCTCAATTGGGCGAGCTTGAGGGTGGCAGCCATTACTGCACCTACGGACTGCAAGTTGCTACTTTGGTCTTCAACATCAACGGGGGATTCGGCGTTGTACTTTGGGGTAGGGTAGACCCTCCTAGGTGATAGGACACTAGTGTAGAGGTTGCTGATTGGGTCAGGAGGACAATATGAGAGGGAGGTGAGTTCTACTGCATCTCGAAGCTCAGGCCACTCAGGTAAGTGTCATGCACCTACGGGATGCCCATGAGTTTGTGTGCATGGTATTGATGTCCTGATGGGATTGGCTTTGGGTTTCTTTTCCTACTCATCTATGGTCTTGATTGTGCATGTGAGTGTGTGAATTGCTCTCACCTGATGAGTGGATGGATGGAGTATGTTGAATAAAGAGCCTGCCATTTCTATGGTTAGACATCCTCCATTTCCCTGTCTAGCCCTGGCCCGTCGCCCCCATGCTAGTCGCCCCATATATGATGTAAAAGGCTGTCAGACACGCCTGCCAGTCGCCCCCACGCTAGTCGGCCGGGGTTGTCCATAGCCGGGACCGGTCAAGGTCCCATGGCCCTCGCCCACACCCAGCACCCTCGCACCGCCATGCACCCCGCGAAGATCCTGCTACTTCCAACGGCTAGCTCTGGCCATGCAACACGATGCATTCCCTGCATCGCTCCACTTCACGATCCCCCGCCGTCCAACTGCCACATGTGGCGTCGGCAGGTCCATTTTCGTTTTGTTTTTGTTTTTTTGTCGTTTTGTGGCTTATAGCAGAAACGGGCCCGGCTGTACCTGTGAGGGAAATGAAAATGGGCCTTGCTGCACTACTCTCCAAACATGCAAAATGAGAATGAATCCTCCGCTAGAACAAGGAAAGATGCGCTGCCATATTCTTTGACTTTTGTGGATGTGGAAAGCAGTGCAGCGAGGCCCAATGAAGCCACTACTTTCTACATGCACAGAACTACGGGCCACGCTCCACTAACAACGAAACACGAGGAGGAGCGCTAGGAGGTGGGGGAAGATGACGAGCGGGAGGAGGTGAACGAAGAGGAGGGCGCCATGCTCCTGAGAATGAACCTTCCGCTGGAAGATGGGAAGATACACAGCGAGACCACACTCCTGAGAATCAACCTTGGGGCCTCGCTCTGCAACTCTCCACATGCACAAAAGACAAAAAATACAGCAATGTATCTTTCCGTGTTCTAGCGAAGGATTCAGTCTGCAAATTTGGAGAGTAGTGGACTGGTCCCGTTAGTGGACGAGGACAGTGAACGGGGGAAGGAGTAGGGGGGGAAGCAGGAGAGGGAACGGCAACCAACGCGAGGAGGAGGAAGAGCGGGATGAAGAACCGTTCAAGAACAGGATCAGGGGGAGGAGGAGAAGGACTAGAGGGAAGAAGAACGGGAGGAGGAGGGGCAGCATGAAAAGTGAGAGGACACGGGCAGTTAACAGGATGAGGAGCAGCCATGGGGCGGGAGGAAGCATGAGGAGGAGACTACTTCGGTGTGTCTTCGTGTGCTTCCACATTGGCGACCCCATGACCACAAGCGGAGCCGCAGCGGGTCCACTTGTCTTAAAAAAGATAAGTTTGTAACTTTGTATGTGTGTATGCGTGTTTAAAAAAACAAAAACAAATTCTCTCTCATTCCATTCGCGAGTCATCAGAAACCATCCATAAAAGTTGATCAAACCAAGAAAGTATAGATAGGCAAGATATTAAAATTGCAAGGTTGGCCACGTTAGTGTGGTTCAGCGCCAAGTGGCCACACACCTGTCTGCAGCCGAAGCAGCACACTTGCACATAAACATATATACACATATATGTCATAGTCTATACAGAGATGGAGGGCAAAACGCAACTCACCCAAAACAGAAGACTCCACCAGCAAGAAAGCACACCCAATCCCCCAAAGGTCCAACAAAGCTTCTCGAGCCATCCCAATCGGACCACAAACCACAAAATTAATTACACAAGCACAACAGCACTGGCACTGCCATTCATCCCAAACAACTCACTCACGTGACCACCATCTCTATCACTCTATGGTTCGACATCCTCCATTTCACTGTCTAGACCTGGAGTGTATAGAGTGCCGTAATCCCAAACTCCACAAGATCCTCACGCGACACTAGGGGCACTGCTGCTTAAAACACCCTCGAAACCTCCATTTCTTCCATGTGCTCCAAAAAGGCAGCCCGTGGGAATGACACCCACAGAAACACTATCTAAGCCTCCTCACCAAGATACTGTGGCTAAAACTCCAAACATACATTCTCACCCCACAAAACTTGTGGCCACCCACAGACATTCCTTATCTATAAAACAGCCCATGATCTGAAGCAGGGCAAATAATTAGGCCATGTACAATAAACCAAACAGCAAAACAAATCCAACCACAAAAAAAGAGTAGCTCGCTAGTACGAGCCCGATCCTAACAGCTCAAATTTTCCAGGACAGAGAGCTAGCAAGATTGGAATCTAAGTGTGTGTGTGTGTGTGTGTGTGTGTGTGTGTGTGTGTGTGTGTGTGTGTGTGTGTGTGCGTGGGTGTGTGTGTGCGTG